GGGGGGGGTAGATAAACAAAGCTTTTCCTTAGTTTACACATTTCCCAGGAGAAATTGATAAGTCGGCCTGTTTCGAGGCCAACCAGGGAGTCAGATTCAGATAATCCATAATTGTTGATTTATTCAGGCAGACTATTTTCCTTGTCAGCCTTGAGTCTTACTGGAACTTCCAAGATCTGAAATGACCAGATTAGGGTGCATTCTACTGGTCCGTGCTTACGAGCCTCTTCAAGGTTGTTTTCATGCTGACGAGTCCCAAAGCCGCAGGTGGCCTGTGATTCAAATCACTTCCACCTTACGGTTTCGCTTGTAAATCAGCTGATTTTGAGTCCTCAAAGCACATACGAAACCTTCACATAGGCAGCAGCCTGATGAGGCCAGATTAGCTGCCACCATCTTCTTTGTATGTTGATAAACCAGGATCCAGACTATTCCATAAACAGGAAACCTGTTATCATAAATCCAATTATATACAATTTTGGTGTTCTCGATCGACAGCAGAGGTAGACACATCATATTCCACTTCCTCCAGAAATATATCCAGCTGCATGCGTGTCGTCCGAGCAGATGAGGGTTCTCCAGGACCCTGTTGCTTTGTTGAAAATATTTTGTCATTTGCGTCAAAAGTCCAGTTGGTCAGATCCAAAACAGTAGTTTTCATTTCGGAAGATGTGTAAAAATAGGAGCTGCTCCGATCCACAGACAGAGAGCAAAAAAGCAGGAGGAGAACAGGGAGAGGGAGGAAAAGCGTGCGCCTCGTTACAGAGCCAGTGAGAAAAAACTTTACTGGCTTTGTATGTAAAGTCCAGGATAAATCCTCAGTAATGTGAACGCCGAGGAACTTGAAGCTGCTGACCTGCTCCACCTCAGCGTTGTTTACGTTGATGTTGGAGTGCTGGCCTCCACGCTGTTTCCTGAAGTCCACTATCATCTCCTTTGTTTTGCTGACATTTAGAGAGAGGTTATTTTCCAGACACCAGCTAGTCAGTGATTTCACCTCGTCTCTGTAGGCACTCTCATTGTTGGTAATGAGGCGCAGGATGGTGATGTCATCAGCGTACTTGAGGATGACCTTAGAGCTGTGCTTGGCGGTACAGTCATGTGTAAATAGTGAGTACAGGTACTTAGTCACATAAATGTTTGTTTTACTTCTAATGCATACTGTTTGATAGTAATCTTTTTTTAATTGTATTAAGCTGAAATTGGTCCCACTTTCAAGACTTCATACAAAACAGCAACTACAGTGCCTTCAGAAAGTATTCGGCCCCCTTGAACTTTTCAACCTTTTGAAGTGGAATGAAATTTATTGGATGTGTCAAAC